GGATGGATGGATGGATGGATGGATGTGTGGACTTTAAGCTATAGGGTAAAGTTGTGTCACATTAAAACTGCTAAACTTTTATTTTGCATTTTATGTAACTCATAAAGGTAATATAAAGGGACAAGGATACATGGTTAAAAATGCTCTACATATATCTGAAAAGTGTGGCATGCATTTGCATTTAATGATATTTGCACTGAAACTCTTAGTTCAAATACAGTGAAAGTAATCAGTCTAAGAAGAACAAAACTCAGTAAATCTAAAGCCGGGCATACAGTGGGGTTTTTTCAATCGTTGCACGCAGCTACAGCTCATACTGTACGACGAAACAACAGGGTTTAGTCGTACAGTGTGAGCTCACAGCTCAGATTTATGTTCTGCACGACAGTCTGGTGCGATCTAGCTGCTCACACTGTACATCTAAAAACTACGCTGGACTCAGCTCCGCAGTGAGATGGAGCTACTCTGACTCCAAATGAGTAGAAGAATAATAAGCTCACTATAGTGAAATGCTCTGCCTTGGTAATTTGTGCAATTTTGTGCTGAAAATCAAACATTGGATTTTCTCCCGACCTCACGATTCCTGATCAGGAGGTGGTTGTGAGAAGCTGATCAGCCCTCATTAGCCCCTGTACACTACACGACGCACAATCAGGCTGAAAGTCGGCCCAATTAGAAAATTCTTGCACAACTAGAAAGTCGCCCCGAAAAGGGCAAAAAAATCACACAGTTTAAGCCCGGCTTAATTCACACTAAGTTTTTTTTTTTTGTTTTTTACGGCACTAGTGGACAGTAGGCTGACAGGAAAGGGGGTATGAGAGAGGGGGAGAGACATGCGGCAAATGACAATAGGCCGGTGCGCTAACCACTGCACCACCAAAGCCTGCCCCAAATTCCAACTAAGTTTAAAATGCAAGATGATTTTTCTAATTGCGCCATTTTATAAATTTTTTTTCGAAACAAACGCCTACTTTTTGTTCTTCTGCTTCTTTTCATTCCTGTTCCTATTTCTAACAAAGATTTTTTTTTGTTTCATTTCCAAAATGGCAAGTCTCGAATTTTTTGTCCAGAGGCAAAATGAGAGGAAAATAAAGGGAGTGGAAAAAGAAGCAGAAGCCGCTGATGTTAAGGAAGTTGAGATCTGACACTTTGTGCCCTCCTGAGTCTGTGAGGACTTGTTTGTACAGTCTAAGAATGAAATGTAAACTTCACTTTTCATAAAGGCCTTAGTCCTCTATCCAGGCCAAACAAAATCAGAATTTCATGTCTCTAATTGCTTCTTTTTAAAGGGCTTTATGGGTTATTTTCCTGAAACTGATCCACCAATAACAGACAAACTAACGTGGATAGTGTGAGCTAACAGGTTAGGACACAAGGGAAATATGAGAAAATCATCTCAGCCATATATATTGTAATAACTATAAGGGATGAGAAATAAATATGTGCAGATGAAAATAAATTTTTTTAAAAGCGAAGACAGTGAGAGTAGGAAGCTTTTCTTGCAAATTGCTCACACTTTTAAAATCCTTCTCTCCCTCCTTTATTTTGTGGTCTGCCCACATGTCCTGCCCTCCTTTACTCATCTTCTTCTGCCTATGCCTCCGTCTGTCTCCTCCTCGCTCTCGTCTCCCTCCTGGGAGGCTGGGTCCACTGACCCCGTGTGAAAGTCAGCAAAACGCATTCCAGCTCGGTCCACTCCGCTCTGGGAAAGTCGGGCCGCCATGAGACATGATCTTACAGACAGAACTGAACTGCTACTGGGCGCAGAAGTAGGTGGAAAAAACAGTGGGTGTGTTCAGGACCCAAAGATTTAAAGCAGGAAACTGGCATGAATCTTGTTTAAATCAGTCTTCCTCTTTAATGATAAGAGTGGCTGATTTGTGATAAGCACAAGCTAAAACTTGTGTGCTGACTCGTAAAATATCTTCCCTCTTTGCTCCCACTTTTATCTTTATCTGTTATTCCCCAGAGTCAACCACATATTTTTCCAAATTTTTCTCTTTTTGACGTTTACACAGTCTGAGATTGGTGAGTCATGCAATTTCCGTCTAACTGACCTTTGAGGGATGTCTGAAGCTAAATTTGGAAGCCTTTGACATGACCAACTGGTAAAAAACAATACAAAAAAAAAAAAAAGCTTAAAGTTCTTATTCTGCTTCAACCTTCATGGATATTGTTGCATGACAACCAAGTGATGACCAAGATAAAGCAGGCCATTCAGTAATTGTAGGGTGGAAGGAAAAAGATGTTGTTTTTTTTTAGCATTTTTAGCCTATCAAAATTCAGTATTCATGTGTATTACTGTTCTTCTGAGAAAATACTTTTACTGAAATGCCTCTGTTCTCTTTGAACACCAAAATTTTTAACTCCTTTCCTTTGCAGCGGAGCTCATGTTCAGTCAGGTTGAACATAAATTATCAAGTGTTGCCACAGCTTCTCAATTAGACCCCAGACTTGATTTTGACTGGGTTATTCTGACACGTATATGTGCTTTGATCTGAGCTCTTCCATACTAGTTTTGGCTGTATTTTTAGCCTCGTTGTCCTGCAGCAAAGTGAATCTCCGCCCTAGTCGTAAGTCTTTGCAGCCTCTAACAGGTTTTCTTTCAGGATTGCCCTATAATTAGCTTTATCCATCTTCCCATCAGCTCTGACAAGCTTTGCCTTCCCTTCCAAGAGTGAATGATCCCCACCCCTGAATAGGCTGAAAAAAATATATAGATTCTTGCAATATTCATTCCAAAAAAGTTAAAAAAAAAACAACAATCCACTGGACTTAACTCTTTTGGAATGACTATGACCTGGATAACTGAGAATCTTCCCCAGCATTTGGCAATATTCATATCCCAAAGGACAGTTTGGAGTCTAATAATTTTTAACTCACATATTCAACGTATAATAAAATACATCTTAATGCAGTAATGTAATACTGAGTCAGTTTGTCATCATACAGCAGGTGATGCTCGCTTCTCAAAAGCTTAAAATTCCCCATTAGAACTGCAGCTCCTCCAGAGTTACCCGGGGCTTCTTAGCAGCTTGATGTTAATTTCTTTGTCAAGAAATCCCAACAAAACCCACTGAAGTTTGTAATTGGAACATAAAAAAGAAATGATGAAAAGTTTAGAGTTTGATCCAGATGCAATTAAATGCCCTGAAATCTCTTTTGTTTATTATTTATAAGTGCATGTGTGCCTTTCTTATAGAAGTTATGACAGAAAACACACTGTTGTTTTTTTTGTGTTTCCCTTTACTGTAGCTAGATCCTGGGTGTTGGATATTAGGGAAATTGGTTGCTGCACAGTCAGTTAAGCAGCTGTTATGCTGCTATGCAATCCTTTTAATTTTAGTTTTTGATTGTGGACTTTAATCAAAGATTATTGATGATCAGACTCTAGATTTTATTTTATTTTCTGGCCCAGAATGACCAAGCAAAAGCCCAGACATTTATCTCATTCAAATTCTGAGGGGGTGAAACATGAAACAATTAGGTGGGCTGAACATACAACAAAGAAAACCATTATAAATATCACACAGCTAGACTTAGGGCTGAGGCCAACGTTACACAGACTGAAGTCATGGACTAGTGGATGAAAACCAAAAGCAACTTAGAATAGACTCAGCTTTATAGGCCAAGTCTGGTGCACAATAAATGAATTTGACTTCATTTTTCATTGCTCACAATAAAGTTCAGCTGAAGGGAGTAAGACAACCTGTTAAGATGTCCATCCTTCAATAAAAGCAGATTATTTTTTTTTTTTTTATTAAACCCATTTTATATCATAAGAAAAATGAACAAATCGGAAAAAAAATCTACAAAAAAAAAAAAAAAACTGAATATTTCCTATGGTGTATTAGCTTTATTATTATAGCAGTATCATTATTCACACTGCACAGCTCTGTGCAGCAGATCCCCATTCCATAGAGAAAAGGGTCCACATTTCTAAAGGTCAAAGGTGTCACAAGCAATAATATCACATTGCAATTTATGTAATATCATCTCCCACTCAGTAGTATCTATATATTAAAACACACTGTCTTTCTGATGCATTAAAGCTGGAAATAAAATGATGAAACTATACGAGTAAAGTAAAAACAGAATCAATTATATTTATATTTTTACACATGTTGCACTGCAGGAAAATGAATTGTTCCAGATACATGGAGGGAGTTTGAAAGTATGCATAGTGATGAGAGTGGAAAAATAATTGGAAGAAATGTAGAAGAAAGAAAGAGTGTGGTGTAGGGTAGAACTGATAAGAAAGGGTCAGATTCAGTAAAACAGGGATAAGGACTGACATACAGCCACCTTACCTTAGCTCACATACTGTAATCAAAGCAGTGCTAAGAAACGCTCCTGATGGACAAACATTATCCGACTTGTAACAAAGTGAGTTTCACCTGCAGCAAAGTCTAAATAGGGAAGGAAAAGAGAGAAGAGGCCGGGTTTCCCATCACCAGCTTTCCAGACAGGATCTTCCTGCCTGACCCTGGTGAAAGCTATGCAAGTATGGAGTTAATCAAAGAGTGTTAGGATGACAAGCAGAGGGGCCTCCAAGAAGCCATGCCAGGGGCCTCTTTTACACAAAACCAGCAGTGTGACTCGGGCGCTGTACTTTGGACAGGAACTGTGGTTGAGGGCTGGGGCAGGTAATCTGTCTGCTGGTGGCAATAAACTAAAATCAGCTCTAATTTCAGCAAAGCCTTTTTTTCCAGGGCTTGAGCTTAATGACATGAACATCAGCCCCTTTGACCACCTGGTGACATAAACATGCTCTCATATCCTACATGTCAGCGCTTACAGTTTAGAGGCTAGCAGCCAACAGCCATGGCGGATCTCACCTCTGTAATAATGAAGAAGTCATCTCCAGGCTCTCCCTGCACCACAATCTTCTCCCCGTCTTCAAACTGAACAGGCTCCAGAGCATCAGCCACAGTCAGGCGCTCCCACTTATCCAAAGACTCTGTGAATGAGGAAGACGAAACAGTAAAAATAGTGGATTCACCAACTCATCTTCATGCAGTTTCTGCTGCATGATCATGGAGGCTGTCTTCTTGGGTCTCCAGGGAGGTGGTGGGATAAATCACATTCCAGACTAATCCAGTTATTCATCAGGAACCATTAGCATTCAGATCCTTTGACTACTCCCTTATTTCATGGAGGCCCAGGGAGCTTAAACACCTTAAAATAAAGCCCCAAATCTGTTTTGCTTACGTTGCCTTGTGGTGACAGATATGGTTTATCCCCAAAAAAGTATCTTATCCAGCAATAGGATACAGTATTAGAGACAGCCTGCTAAAAATAGCAACTTGAACAAGAATTCAAACCCTGTGCACATTTTCCCATTTTCTTCAATTAAAGCCACAATCTTTATTAGGATTTTATGTTAAAACCAAAAACGTTTCAAACGTATGAACTAATTAAACCATAAAAGCGCACAACTTTTCCTTGGGTAACTCCAATAACCTAGCAGGGAGAAAGTAATTCTGAAATATAAAGCTATAAATTACTTTTTTTTAAGTTACACCAGCAAAGAGAATGTTATAGGGCTTCTTTTTATTGGTGTTAATGTTGAATATCGCTGAGTTTTAGCTTTAGTCACTGAGGGAAGTGCAGGTTCATCTATGTGGTCAAATATGGCAGATGAAAGCAATTATTACAGCTGATGATGAATGCTTTTTGTGTGTGGTGCAAGTCAGGTCAGACGAAAGGAAAACTATTTTTGGTCACAAAGACTGAAAATGGCATTCCAATGATGAGGCACGCTGGTGGCAGCATAATGCAGAGGGAATGTGTTTCTTTTTTGGAGGGGATGCTAGATGGATTAAAATAAAGGTAAATCCTTGCAAGACAAAAATATCAGTTAAAAGGCTGCAGAAAACTATAGAGTGAAGAAGAGATTAACTTCTCTAAGTGTTTGTAAGACAACAAAAAAAGTTAAAGGGGAATTAATACTTTTAAAGGGCAGTGAATCTTCAGGTTCAGCCTAAAGCAATGTTCAAGAAGAAAGAAAAGTAATTCAAATTCAGCTCCATTTAGGTTTAGGTTCTGATCAATTGTAAAGCAAATATTTCCTAAACATTATAGAAAATTGAGGATTTACTGTTTAATAAATCAAGCTTAAAAAAAAATCCACTAAAAATTATACTGGTATCTACTTTCAGTTTTTAGGAGTAGTTTCAGATGCAGCCAGTTGGTCTTTCCAACTATCCAACCACTGAGACGTTGACGTGGTTAGCCCGAGATATTCCTAGAAGCTGCTGGTTATTTCACAGAAACCCAAGCGGATGGTTTCACATCTCTCCTCAGAAAAGCAATGCTTCAACCAAAAGAGGTTAAAGCCACGCAAAATTTGATGTTAAAGGAAGGAGGATCGGCCACAAATAACTGCGCATCTCCACACAGATGTTTGACCAAATGATCTCATCCTTCTTTCACACTTCAGCAGATCAGTGTGGGCTAATCTTTCCCAGTCCATCCATCTGCATGTGGAATGTGACTTATCTGCAGTGAAAACACTCCTCATCCTCAGCTTTGTCTAGATGAAAAGATGATTCATTGTTTTTATTTGACTAAGACACGAGTTAGAGGCGTAAAACTGTGGCGGAATCTCTTTGTCTGGAAGCATTGTCTCCTGACGTGCTCACTAACTGATCCTGTTGTGTTTATTTATCTGTGTGTATAACCGTGTAGGCATTTAGGATTAACTGGGATAGGCCAGGGAGTTTGGAGGTGTCCAGTGTCCTCTCCAGTGGGGCCATGCTGTCTGCCGGACCCAGATGGATGTCTTCTGTCTGGCTGCAACCTAAAAGGCAGCAGGTCCTGCAGAGAGGTGATCCTTAACGACAAGGGACGTAACACGATATAGAGATGTCTTGGCTGAAGCAGCTACATTTTACGCTTCACGGAGCCTGCACCCACTTGTATCGCCTCGCTGTAAACATCCAGGGAACTCACCGCTGGGACGCTGAAGCTTGTTTAAGCGCGAGTGTGACAAACATTTGTTATTTCTCACTTAACACCAAAACATCAAGGGCTTGCACCCAATTTCGTGGCTATCTCTGAAATCAGAGACAAACAAAAACACTCCCGCCTCCTGACATTGCTGCGTTTGATGGAGGGTGAGCAGAGAGGCAAAGCAGCGGAAAGGGGGCATGGAAGGGCGGTATTCCGCTTCGACGAGGGAGGCGGGTTCCTGAATTCAATCCTTAACAAAGCTGTGAAAAAGGGAGGAGAATTAAAGAGGGCCGACTTCAGAGAGACAATCTCCTAAGTCTTGAACTGAGTGTATGTGTTTACTCACCCAGCTAATAACTCTGTACAGGGGGCACAGCCTTACGCTATACACCCGGCACACACGATCAAGTGGAAAGGGATGGAACGTCACTTTCAATTGCACCTCAATTTGAAGGTCTGAATGAATCTCATTTGCCTTCCCTTTAAATCCAGTGGCCTGTGTAGGTTGGGTGTTATCCAAATTCCAGCAGGAAAGAGGAGCTTATCCTAACCCCCTATACTTTAATTGTCCACACAAGAGACATTACAGAGCGTGGCGGGGCTTACGGGCGAACAGTGTGAGTAGATTAGGACTGTAAACACAGACCTTACTCAGCTATAGGCCCCGTGTGACAGCGTATGCCGCTGTTTACGTGGGATAAGCTATAATATACATAAATTTAACTGCCCGGACCCTGGATTCTAGGCCTTTTGAAATCAACTTGCACCACAGGCTATTATTACACATACTAAAGACACCCATTTTTTGCTGATTCATTAAAGAGGACACAATAGACCTACTGTAGTTTTTTTATGCAACCTTTCTCCCGATGATACCACAGAGTTTCATGATTTTAATTGGACTTTATATGACAGACAAGTGAGAGTTGGAAGAATAGGCTATACATTTTGCATTGTTTTATAATAAAATCTGACAAGGGTTAGTGCTTGCTCCTTGGCCTATAAAATGCTTTTATTTGTGTAAAGCTTTAAAACAACACATTTGGACAAAGTGCTGCACACAAATGGAAAATAAAAACCTAAAAGATGTAAAACAAAAGGAATTGAGCACAAAACAAAGCAATGAAAGTCAACACCTCAGGAGACAGAGATGGCTTAACATTGTGTGAGTTTTTATGCTGAATGTGCAACATTAATTTATTAGCTTAGGGGTAAAAACTGAGAAAGAGTCTTAAGGGAAGAAAAGATGCAGAGGGCTGAAGCAGATCAGACAAAAACATTTGGGGGATCACCAAAGATGTAAAAAAAATTTTTAAAACAACAGGAAGGTCTGAGGCAAGGCTAAAACTTAGTTGATGTAAGTTGCATTTCTTGTACCAGCTAGTAGATGCACAGCAGGATTTAAAACCGGCTGAATATAAGCCATTCTTTACTCAGGCCAGAGTAATTGTTTTCTCAAAATCCTCAGAGACCTCACTAAAATGGCTGTATTTAAACTTATAATTTGATTTAACATGGGCAGAGTCAAAACTGAATGACTTCTGAAGGAAACCGATTGTGCTTGTATGTATTTTTCGCATAACAATAAAGGAGGCAAAATAAAAATGGACCGCAAACGTTTCCGTCTCTTATTTATAAAAAGCGTTGTATCCTTTCTCAAATTACTTATAAATTGAAAATCTCAATGATAAACACCGAAATTTGTGACAAAAATGTGAGATTGCCTTTATAACTTGTTTTTGGATGTTATCCTCTGATAAATAAACTTACCAAGGATGGAGACCTTACTGAGGAACTCTTCGTACATCTTTCTCTTTCTCAGAGTACTTCCCTGCAAGAAAAAGAAAAACACCACATTAACTATTAATATTGCCATAAATCAACTAGTAGTGCATCAAATTACTATTTCATTATTCTGCTATTTACTTCAGTCTTCTTGGAGTGGCTCGGTTTCAAAATGCACATCCTGATTTATTTTGCAATGCTTTTTTATTACTAAAGATTAGTAAAAGTAAGAGTCAGCCAAACGTACAATTAAGTAATCATATTTTAGTTATTTTTTTTTTGTATCTTGCACATCTCTAATGGCCATCCATAATAGAGAAATAAACGTGCAGTGCTTACAAAAATAAACAATAATACAAGTTTATTTAAGATTGACATATTATAGTTCATGGGGTCATGCTTAGGGAGGTTTGTATGGAATATGGGTTAAGGTTTATTGCATGTGTGTGTCTGTGTGTGTGGCCTCCCCCGCCCACCAGGCAGGGGACTTTCCCCTCCCCGTCTATGCCACGAATATCAGGTGCTTTCTGACAAATCCAGACCCACAGGACCCCTTCCCTAACTATGTTTCTTCTTCACTGAGCAGAGCCACTCAGGGATTCCTGCATCATCAGAAAAAAATATACTCCAATGAGGAGTTAAAATCTGGTCCATCCTCTATCTCCTTTTTGCAAATATAAGTGATATATATATTGAGGCTTGGGGTATCTTCAGCACAAGTGCTCACGTACTGCTGCTGCCTCTAATTTCATATAATTTCCACATTTTGTCTTAAAAGGAGAAAAAAATCTTCCCAAGTGAGTCAACGTCAAACTGAGGATCGTAAACAACTTGATTAAAGGAATTGTAGACTGCTCTGCCTCCCTCCTGGATGCATGATTTGAGTGTGTGCAGGCAAGTCTGTTTTTAGTTCTGCCACTTATATTATGTTGCTATCTTAGCGGGGACACATTTTTTAGCATTAAGCGAACGTATGCGGGATCCTCTACTCTGAAACTTTCACATGCACATTAAAACCCACACCAATAGGCTCTGCAATGTTCACAGCCTTTCTGCAAAGCTTTAAGATTTTAAATGCATGTCATGCAAACCTAAAAACATATACAGTATGTCTGATTTATGTGACTGCAGCAGGACCAGCAGGGTGGGCCAAAGTAATGTATGTCATGTAGGACTTGCATTTCCAAGTTACTAAATGAAAAATACGACACTCTCAATGACAGATTTTCTTGCACGCGTCTACATCGGCATCTATCCTAATCCGTCCTGTCTACATGGGAGGGCTCCAGCACACGACCATGACTAAAAATGTCCTACTTCTCTACTACCTAATGTCTTTGCCATTCATGTGGTTAAAGATGAACCAGCCTTTTTGTCTGTTTGCTGTCTTTGAGGTGGAATCATCAAAGCCTTGAGGTGTGGAGTGAAGCCAGACTAATCCAACTGTATCTTAAGCCTCATCTGTATCACCTTCATCTCTATCCAATGTGACACATCACCGCTCTCTCAACCTTCATCGCTCCTGGTTTCTTTGGTATAATTTACTCTGGTTTCCTTTCGTCTTCTGTTCTGTTTGTTGACAGTGGTCTGTCAGTTTGATAATGGCTTTGGATGTAACTGTGTCTGTTTAAATACCAAGATGACACAGCAACGCTGGTATTGTATGACTGATGGCAACACAATAGGGAGAGTGTGTTTACTACAAGGACTGGTATTACACTGTTTGCTCAACTCTTGAATAAAGAAAGTGGTGTGATGTGTGGGTGTAGTAAGGTTTGAAGGGATGCCTTGGCTTTGCTTTACAACATTAATACAATGACATGTTAGCTTTGTCAACATGTTCATCATTTAAAGTTGTTTATTATAAAGCTAATAATTTGATAATCAACTTATTTTCTTGGCAGAGATTATGGTTGACCAACCAGGCTACCAACTATTTATTCACCGATCAATCTAACGATAAAAGAAGTTAAGGTAGTTGAAGACATTTTTACTTGAGGAAGCTTTCCTGATTTGTATTTCTGTTTTTACAAACTGTATTTAATTATTAATATGATTAGATTACTTTTCTATGAAGAATATTTTTGGGGATTTGTCAGTGAAAAGTGATATTTAAAGACGTTTTTCATCGCTAACACAGATTTGGCTTGAAAGTGGGGGAACTCTGTTCATCTCTCGATCAAATTTTCATTCACGAGTCTTAAAAAACATTACGTAGCCTTGTGTCCAAACAATGCAAAAACATGGTTGAAAAGTAAATGGTGAAAATATGCCTCCATAAGGACATCCATTGATGTATACATATGGTTGAAAGATGTTTAGGGTGGATAAAAGGGCTGACCAGGTCTGATTTTCATTTTCTCAATTTAAGCTAAATTTACACAGCCTAAGATAGTATGCATTTTAAATATATTTTGTTGGCTAAATAAAGACAAGCACCAACAAACAAATAGCAAAACATTGTCTCAGTGGAATTTTTTAAACTGTACATCCGTAAACCTGTAGGGAACAAAGCTTGCAATGCCTTTGACATTTTATTCCCATCAGTTAAGATAATTCCAGCATTTCATTTGTAAACATGTTGCAAACACACACTGCAGTGTTTCATTTGACAGTAACTTTGGTGTAGCTGCGATCTGATTTTATTTATTTCAGTTTGCATACGCTGTTTGATCTAAGGTAATCATCTGCTTGCTGTCCAAAATCATAGAGAGTGGTCCCCTCCGCAGGGAACACCATAATAATACAAAACAGATCTATTTGTAAGCATAAGCTCTTGTGTTTGTAAACAAAATCCTGTAATCATGTAAAATATGCGATCATTTGTTGAAGGCCTGTTCCGTGTACACCAGCTCTGTGTGATACACTGAATTTTTCACTTACTACATAATCAGGTGTTTCATCATACTGCAACCACATATTGGTTATGTTAATATAATTATTTTTATGTGCACTCTTCTAGTTTGTTGTTAACCAATAAATTCTGTATCTGCAATCAACTGCTTCTCCACACTCATAGATTAGGGGCAGAATAGGTTTTGTTGCTTGGACTGAGTGTAACAAAGGAAAGTTAGGCAACATTTAAATGTCCATTGAAACCATACTGATTGATCATTAATCAAGCAGTATTCACACTGTTTTTGGTATACACACAGATGCTGAATATCTGAAAAGCGGACTGGAGTAGATCTAACTGCAACAGATGTGAAACATCAGAACCTGTTCGATGTATGTATAATTCAGGGATCCACCAATGTTGCATACTTTGAGTGTTCGGATAAAATTAAAAGTGGTTTCTTTTAAGATTATAAAATTAACACTGTACTGCTGCATAGATATGTCTAAAATTTAGCAAATCAGGGCTATTTGTTGTTGAAGGAGCTCTAATGAAGACTCTGGAGTTGGTTTCTTCAAAAGTGACAAAATATACCCAAAAAAATGCAATACCATAAAAAGAAGGGTATCTTAATGTTGAACCTAGTGCCAAATATAACTTGAACCAAGATCAAACTGGCATTCTAGCAGATCAATGCACAAATTTTAAGGTTATGTAACTATTTTTGGTTGAATCACCTGGTTCAATGCTTAAAGTCCAAATTCTTTTGAATGAGGCTTTGCCTCATTGAGCCTTGTTTTGGCTAACATTATTTAGCTCCCCCATTGTGGTGCGTTTTGGTTGGACATCGTGTTGCGTTATTTGAACAGATTAGTGTAAACAGGTAGAGAAGCAATTCTTGGGGTCTCCTGATTTCTATAGACAGTATGTTAATGTATCGACCACAGGGTGTCATGGTTGTGCTCTTAGCTGTGTCACCTTATGTATCACTATTACTGGTGTATACAAAGTTATTAAAATTACATAAGGAAACAAGCAAACCAAGCAGGGGAGCAAGTAAAGCCTGAGGGAACAACAGATTTATAATACAGGGGGGCAAACCCAACTACACTCAATCATTCACCCCTTCAATCAATTCACACACTGATGGTGGTGAGCCACATTGTAGCCACAGCTGCCCTGGGGCGCGCTAACAGAAGCAAGGTTCCTGTACATGGAAAGAAGACTGTGACGTGTATATGTAAGCATGATAGTTATTAGCTTCACCTACTAGTTTCATTTAATTTTAGCTTAAGGGTCTATTAAAATTGATACCTAAAATGTGGATTGATTTTTTATAAACACCCATGGCACTATAGAGAATGGATCAAAGCAATGGAGTTCCTTTTCTGTTCTTATTGTGCCTCTACGAGCAAAGTGTAAGTTTTTCCTAGTAGTGATTACTGACTTTATCACCAAATTTTGTTCCTCTTAAGTCAACAGGTTTGTTTTACTAAGTAACAGCTTAGAATTTGGTTATAATTGAATTAAGTGTTAAAAGATTTCAAATGTTTGTCAAATTACACTAATATGTTTGTCTTGAAATCAAATTAATCATTGTTAAAGGTGGAAAATCTCACTTTATCTTAAAAATTTAAAGATTATGAAGACAAAGAGGACAGAAGAGCAGATGTTCAAAAGTCAAACAAACAGAAGTGCCAGCGCACCTTTCAACCCCAGTGCTAACTAACAGCAGACACAGCGACTCAGCGTAATTTTTCACTGGGAAACACACACATATTCTTACACAAAGAGAGAACGCTCATTGTGTTGGCTGAACACGCTGCCAGAATACCACACTTTGTAAAAACAGCTTTACAAATCATTGACAGCAATAATTAACAACAGGTTGATGTAATTGAATTCTGTTTTCAACTCCTCTACCCCCTCTTCTTGCTGCTGCTGCTGCTGCTGCTGCTGAAAAGAACGAAGGAATGAGAGCTGCAGAGGGCGAGAATCCTCTCAAAGAAAGGTTACCCAGGCGGATTGGGCCGTCACTTTAACTATGCGCTTAAGAGGGGACCTGAGTGCATGGCAGATTGCTGCCAATTTTACAATGAGCTTGAATTCCACCTTCTTAAAAAAAAAAAAAACTTCTTCCAACTCAACGAGCTCTGACATAGAAAAATCATTTTCACTGCTGGCAATAATTAAAATTTAGATACACACAGGAATTGGGAGGGTTAATCGGTGTCTGACTAATCTATTTGAGTTGAAGCGTTAGGGACGTCTGAGATCATGTTTAGCAAGCAAGGGGGTCCCACACAGACAGACATGTGCAATAATTAGTCATTCCAACAGCACAAAAAAATATATCTGAGTGCGACAGCCAGGGCAGAGCACCTAATGTTTCCACTTTAAACATTTAGACATTCCTAGCAGATAAGCTCCCGGAGTGGGAAGTGCATGTACAGGCATTAGGAATGACCCTTTCTCTCCCCTTCAGGCCCCACACACTCCCTCTCCGCTTTTGATTTTTACCCTTTCTTCATCTAAAAAGAGATCTAGGAAGATATCAAAATGGGAGGATAGATGCGTAAGCATACATCAGTGGGCGTATCTACATGAAAGCAAGTATTGTAAGTGTTTGAGAAGTTTTAAGTGGTTAAGTGGGAGGAAATATTAGAAGAAAAAGAGCAGGAAAGATGAGTGTTGAAGACCTACTGCAGAATATGTTCGGTGTGAGTGCATATATGATCCCTGCTTCAGCATTCACTCAGTATGAAATATTTTCTGCATTCTGATTGTTCAGTGTTACTCTTTTTTATATTAGAAATGCTTTAACTTAGAGCACATTTTTAACTAACTAAATAATTAATAAATGTTAAAAAATATTTTTGGTCAACCTTGTTTTATAGCAACATGGTTCCGTGTAGAGAAATGTTAAAGCTGCTGACTGCGACGGATTTAATTTATGGATATAAGAGCACGAAGGTATGACACATTATCAGATTTTCTTTGTGAAAAAACAAAAAATGAAGCCATGTGTCATTTTTATTTCACTTAACAATTATGCACTAGTCTTGTGTTGGTCTGAAAAAAACATTAAAAAAGGTCAATAGGTTTGTAAAGATCACAATTATTTTGCAAGAGAAATAAGATTTTGATTGTATTTTATTTTATAAATGAACAAAACAAAAATATGCTAGCAAAATAATAAAGTTTTTCTTCATTTTGGAGATTTGGGCAGTTCAGTTTAGGAATTATGATGGCAATATTTGCTTCACTCCAACAGGTTAAACTTAGGTTCCATATAATATAGAGAAGACTTGTTTGAGTTTCATACGTACCATGAGGATGCGGCGGTAGCTGTCTCTGTCGATGCCCCACAGCTTAAGATCAGTTTTGGCCTTAACAGTGGCAGCTCTGGGAGTGCCATAGATCAGGGCCAGCTCACCAAAACTTCCTCCCTCACCGATGTTGGTCACCAGCTCCCCATTCACATACACCTACAGAGATAAAGAACAGGTAAGGAGACTGCCTGTTCCCGATAATACAGAAAAACTGTCGGCTTCAGTCGGAGTTTTCTAGTTTACTCTAAAGGCCTGAATCCGGAAGGCATTTAGCATCTGATTCAATAGAAAATCGGATCATATGTGCCCGAGGGACTTAGAGCCCATTGCTGGTTAGACTGCATATGATCCCACACAGATAGGCCCCTGGTCTATTCTGATCAGAACCTTCCAGCGATTCATCAGCAATGTCATGAGTCTGATAGGAATAGTGACACAGCGTCAAAGTAAAACACAGCCGCTTAGGGTAAAATACAATCTAGATTTCAAGTTAAATCACCCAGTTTTGAGCTGAGTGGAAATGGTGAGTGGAATGGTGCATTTAAAGGAAAAAGAGTGGACTCTGACATACATAATAAATAAAACAGTTCAATAAACAGTTTACTTTATCTGTGGTAGGATCCCAGGATAACAGAAAACAGACAAAGTAAGAAAATTATCCTCTTTGAGCAAAGAGGGACAATGTGGGATGTGAATGGTTTATCGCACTCCTTTCCTTTCTGAAATTGTTAAAAAAATAAATGAATAAATCTAAAAAATCCAAACTTACAAAAGGCTTTAAGAAAATCACCTTTTACTGCCTTGTCCAGTTATGAACCATCCCACAGCCTCTGGATGCTTTTTGTTTTCTATTAATTTAATCTTTAAGAGCAGCAGGTTGTTCATTTAATACAGCGCTGCTTTGCATAGTCATTGACAGCCAACCTCAGCATTACATTTACATTTAAAAATGGCTGATTAATTTTTTTTTCTCGTAATTTTTATAATCTGACCCGGTCAAATGCGGGCATTGTTCCAATTTTTGGGACACAGGGACAGTGATGAAAAACGTTACACAGTCCTACACAGATCAGGATTTGCTCACCCTATGCATGGTAGGAGTTTCTACATGCACTGCAGCCGCTGTGACATGGAAAAAAAGTCAACAGAGCTTGCAAAGTTAGATGCATGCAGCGTTAGCAGGCCTTAAGCCTCTAACAATTTCCATTAAAACAGAATCTATCCGTTCATTCTCTTTTCTTTCCTGCAGTCACTGAGGTTTGAATTATTTCAGGTCTATCCACAAGTGAAGGGCATACACACTGACCCTGTCGACTGGTTACAAGCAGACACATGGGGAGTTCTATTTAGACCAGCCGGTAGAGATCTACAGACAATACGACCTCAGCGAGGCTCATTGGGGTCGTCTCTGGGACCGTTACGGTTTTAACTGTCAACACGCCATCCACTATCTTGTTGACTTAATAACACAGAGAGAAAGGAGGGAGGGAAACAGAAGGAGGGTTCTTTTTTTTCTGCTCACTGCTGTGAATTGCCAGAATTGTTGGAAGCCATTATTCAGACTCTGAGGGGAACCACAGGGGACCCATCCGTCACTATAAGCTGGATTGGGTTCAAAGGGATGCAGAGTGCTGACTGTGGTTACGTCAAGCCTTAAGAGAACAATTATCCGAAAGTTGCAAAAACGTTGCATTAGAGTGTTTTTGGTGGTGGGATTTTTTTTTTACAACCATTTCCAACCCTGTTTTCAGGTAGTAATTATTTTGTCTTTACAGAAGGACCTTCAAATAACTACTTTCATTCAACTCCCCTAAATATTTGCTTCAAATCTAAAAACAGAAAAGGAATTCACTTGAAGTTAAGGTGACAGAAAGTACAGCACTGCAAAGGAATATAAAAATAAACCATTTTTGCAACATTTACATATGTAAAATATCACTAAATCTAAGCATCAAGTTGTCTGGCTGGTAGTAGATAGAAAGCAACATTAAAAAAAATTAAATAAACAAAGGCATATGACAGAATAAAGCAGAAAAGTGTGCTTTATAATGAATTTGTTAGCTTTAGAGCTCTCCGATGTTCTACACAAAATAAGTCAAAATAAGTAAGTTTAAAGCACTTAATCCACTGTTTGACAAATTTCTTCTAAGACAATTTCTCCAACATAAAAGCAAATGTCTTCAATTAAATGGATTTGTGTACAGACATAGACTGGGTTGCATTAGTAGCAACTTTCAGGCGGTTTATGAGATGCTGGCAAATTTACACCCCGTCTAACGACAGACATCTCTACACTCTCATAACCTCTGCACTCTTCTTGATGCAGTTTAGTGCCAGGGCTGTGGCTGGCAGGCAGCCGCTGTCTGTGAGGGATGTGAGGTAAAATAGATGTAAAAGAGGGCGAGGTTTGGCAAAGGAAGGAGGTGAGGTCGAGGATAGTCTTCCCACAGCTCGGGTGCAGGCAGAGAAGAGTCTGTGGGAGCAGATTCACTAGCGAGCAGGACACATCTGGTTTAACACATCGAAGGAGGAGCAACCGAGGCAGACCAAAGCCGCAGCTGCAGGATGCTGCAGCTGTTGAGTCGAAACGCCTTTATGGAAAACTTTAGGAACAGGTGGAAATATTGAAATTCAAGCTTAGGATGTGTTAAAATAAAATGCAAAACACAAAGCAATCATAACTAGGGTCACAAATTTGAAGGAACATTTAACAAAATAATTAGTTTGTGGTAAGAAAAGGAAAATGTAGCCATTGGGTTTCATTTACCACAAGTAATATATTTAATATCTAAATATGTTCATGAAATATATTGCCAGATCTTTTTGCTTGTATCTCCAAATTATTAAACTCAGGTGTTGCAATGACTTCCCAAACCACAGGGGATGAAATCCAGAAAGTGCAGCCGTTCCTGAAAGAGTGGATCACTCTCAGGATGTCTCCGAATACTCCACAATCAACTGGTGGTGTCATTATAGCAAAGCTGAATAGACTGAAACTCGCAACTGAGCAACCAAGTAGTAGGCCGGTTTAGAATCAGAGCAAATCTGAGCAGGGTCACCGAATGTGCAGATCTGAGAGAACTTTAGAAAAGCCAATGGCTACAGAACCCCAATCATATCATGTCTTCGGATTACCGCAGGATTAGTCTAAAGAAAACTTCATGCAAGGGTTTTTATAGCCAAGCAGCTGTTTCCAGGGACTGCAGGTGCAACGATAAGCCTCTGATGGATTGGTGTAAAGCTTTGGACTCGACAGCAGTGGAGACATGTTCTCTGGGTGGACAAATGCTGCTTCTTTCTCTGAAAATCGTATGGACAGTTAGAAGTTTTGCAGCTGCAGGGTTAAAGCCTCGCTGCACTGCGCCAGCTGTAAATTTGGTGCAGAAAGGATCATGGTGGAAAAATATTGAAGGAGACTAAAACTTTTGCACAAAAATGTGAATAGACAATGTCTCGACAGGCTTAGTTTGGCTTTCCCATGACTGCGTGATGTATTGTATTTAACGTATTGAAACAGTTACTGTTTAGCAAGATATCTTAAGAGATTCGTAATCAAATGTCTACTTCAGTTCTTAACTTTTATCTAAATAAATTGCATGAAAATTGAATGATATTTCATGAAAAACGGTGGCTCAATTTCAGATGTGTCTCAGAATATTTCAGGTAACTTTTTTATTCACATCAATCAGACACCACTGAAACAATGGCAGTCAAATCAGCAGAAGTCCTATCAAGGCCCTATCTCAGTGCCGTGCTTTATACTTTTAATTTAAAAAGGGTTGCTGATGCTGGAAACTTTAAAAAGTGAATCAACCTGCCTCTCTCTCTCCCCTCTTATCCATTTTTTCTTTGTTGTTGTTTTTACTCGTTGAGGTAAGCTGATACAGGTCACTTCCTGTTTAACTTTCCACCAGCTCCTGTTTTATCTTTCCACTTAGGTCTATCAGTGTCAGGCTAAAGACAATAGATGTACTCAATTTGGGAGCCTTCACAGGGCGCTCACCTCTAAAGTGCCACGTTCAGATTGTCATCAGACCAGAACTAGACTTTGAACAGGACGAAACATGAGGGCAGTTATACAAACCAGCCCATTTATGCAGGGGTGCAGTTCTGTCTCGACATGACTGGAGAAGGAAGAATTTGAAACGGGGTCACTATCTTGTTTTATAAACTGTCTTTGGGATAAGATGAGTGAAGACTAACATACATAAACATCACACTGAAATGTGTTTATTTTAATTACCTTCGTATACAGATAATATATAATAAATAAGTATCCCTTAGACATTTGACCTCCATCTTTTTTTGTGATTTTAAGGAATTAACAGACCTTCCCTTTATTCAGCCTGTATAAAGCTTAAAAAAACTTTATCATATTGTATTTTTATTTTTACCAAGCCTGACCATTGACCACAATTGTGATAAATGGTTAAATCTAGTCCTTCTCTATTAAACTAATAAAGACTAACCTATTGCACCAAAATACAAGTGCTTGATTCAGATGCCATTATCAGTATCAGCAAGGACTTTATGAATGATGTGAAAAGAAGATAAGTGATTAAGAACGGTATTTAAAATTTTGCTTGTTTAATGACCCTAACAGTATCTTAAAAACATTAAGACATCACTTCACTTCTTTATACAGACATCTTTTCTCGGGTCCCCTTTCAACTGCATGTCGACATTGTTTAGACAGAAGGCAGGACATTTTACTTGAGGGTTTGTGTTTGTGTGTGCCGGACACTTACGTCCACTTCACCTTGGTCAATCACATAGAAGTTGTCTCCTTCATCGCCTAAGAGGAGAGAGAAGAGATCATGAGCTTATAAGAGCAAAGGAAAGCAAATGACAATGCAGTCTAACTTACTCCATTATTTCCTATACAACGTACACTTTGCTAGAAAAGGCTCTCGACATAAAATAATATTAGATGGGAGTTATGATGATTATGTGCAACAGAAAGGGCTAGCCTGCAATTCAATGCATTTATTACAGTAGAGATCTAGAAGAAAATCTCTAAAGAGGCAGGAAACTTGTGCTCAGCATGCTACGGTTTCATTTTGCCATGATTGTGGAATTGTTATAGGATAATGCAAAAATAAAAGTCTGTCTAATATATATTTCTTCTTCATAAAATGAAAAAAATAACATTTGTACTTCTTTATATTCTTTTAAATTAAAGGGCTTTAAGCTTCAGGGCACATACAACAGAGCTCCCGCCTCCTTGAGAATACATACTTCACAGGGCATGCCAATAACTTACAAAAGGACTGTTGCCAATAAAAAAAGTTGCAGTAACGGCCGTGTTCATTACTTTGGTTTAATAGAGGAAACTCTGAAACATAAGTGCCTGAACATGCAAGCTTTAACACCTCAGTGGGTTGGACCAGAACAGTACAACAGGGCCTAACTACAGGTGGTTGCTTCATTCATTGTGGTTTTTATATAACTGACAACTAAATGTTTTATAAACAAGGTTTAAGCAATGAAATGTGCTCCAACTGTGTCACTGTCATAGAAAAGCTGTGCATTTAAAGAACAACTTTAAAAGTGATGAATGGTGTATGAGGTCACCATCTTCTAAAAACATTTAGTCTAAATCAGGGAAACACTAAACTCAAATATAAGTGAATTAAGATGCAAAGGGGGTGAAATGACTCTCAATGACAAGTATCTATAACTTTGGTAAAAGCAAGGGTGTGACTGTGTATTTTTGATCTAAGTTCACCTGAAGACCTAAAAGGTGGAGAGAACCATGTGAGCAAAGTTCACAGAAGTTCAAACGGCTAATTAATACTGTGAGGATTGGAGGGCTCGTTAATCATAGTGCCCTATTTGTCACACGAAATGTTCGTTGTCTGTCTGAAAGCCTACCCCTGAAAAGACCCTAAAGAGCCGTGCGCACACATATATTCTGAGAAACCTGCTGCAACCTGGCCCTGCTGTCATTTTTCTTCTTTCTCTCGCCTTCATCTCATCTATCCCTCTTTCAGTTTCCTTTAACTGTGTCTGTCTTTTCTTGTACTCTTCCTGTCTTTTATCACTTTGGTGGCCAGGTCTTTGTTTTGCGTCTTTCGCTTAAGAGTGCAGGCAAATATTTAACCGCAACCTCCACACACGATCACACACAGGTATAGGGAGGCACACGAGCTAACATACTTTGTGCGGTCTTGTTTCAACAGAATGTAACTTCATACATATGGATAACTTTCTATGGCTTTGCCCCAGACAACATCATGAGTAACATCTTGGATCTCTTGGGTGTTTTATTCCCAGAGTACCAATCATTTGGGTTAGCACAAGACTGTTTAAATAATATGATTAATTGATTAAGTAGTAATAACCATAACGTTATATCCAGTTCTTTAGCATCTCTGTCTGACTGCAGTTTTGTTTTGTCAACAGTGGTAAGCACTATTGCGCACCTGCCTATATCTCTACTCGGAGATGAATTTTTGTCTGTCTTCTGCCACAGTTGTGTTTTTTTAAGGCACGTCAAAAACCTTCTTGGCATTAGCCAAATACACATTTTAGTACACATTTTCCAGCAAATTTTAAAAAGTACTAATAGTATGTTGCACTCAACACTCAATATAAACGTAAGGTAATCTCATGCTACACTATGCAGATGCTCTGTCTGCAATAAAGAAACTATCCAACCCAAGCAGACCAATCAAAAGTGCCACTGATGTAAGGGTAGACAGATCTATTATCTTAAGAACTAAGCTAAAATAGTTTAGCAATTCTGGGACAACCTATATACTATTTATATATAGAGCATAAAACTGTCAGACCAAGATGACTCGCTGACTATAAAGTAAGGCAAAAGGAACTTATATGTAAAATTCACTTAACCTTTTTTGCTGATTGATTAACCAACTTTTTGGGGTCTTCTTAAAGTTTGGTTAGACCATAGAACTTTAAGCCCAAGATGGTCAGGTGATTTAAGGTAGGGCTGCACAATATACCCCAAATAAATCATTACTGCAACATAATTACATAATATGTATATTGCAAAGAATTCCCTGGACTGGATGAATGTTAATTATCCAAGTACCAATACTTGGTGAAATTTGTATAGTCCAGTGCATAAACTGGAATACAGAGTTAAAATGAAGGTGTAAGATGGTCAAGTAATTAAGAAACTGCATCTAAGTGTAACTACAACTAAGTAATTGAACACTAAAAGGTAAAACATTGACTGGAAGGTTTTAATAATACTTTTTTTATATGATTGATATTGATTTTTTTTTTCTTTTCAATAGAAAATTATAACTATAAAAAGTTGTACTGTTATAGTGAAAATTACCAATATTATCTCATATTGCATATGTTTTTTTTAAATATTGGGCAGGCCTATTATCATTCATTTAAAAAAAAATCTAACAGTTCACAATATTTCAGTCTGGTACACATGATTAAACAAAATAGAAATGAATAATTTGAAACCAATAAACTCACTATTTCACAACATTTTGCTATACTTCTTCTCATTTAGAAACACATAAAATGAGTGGTTGTTTTTATTTACATAAATAGCAAGATTAGAAATCGTATCTGGACTTATATCTTTTAGGGACCAAATAAAGTTTCAATGTTAAAGTTTTACACCTTTAACAAGATACTTCAAAGTCATCAGCTGATGAAATCAAAGATGGCAAACAGTAAAACAATTTTAAATGGCTAAATAAATGCTGCCCAGTCCTTAAAACTACAACTGTTTTTTAGGTCTATAAGTTGGGTAAATATCTGGAAGTAGGGTTGGTTATTTGAAGCTCTACAGTAGTCCAAACACTAGCTATGACATCAGTACTTTATATACCACTCTCTGCAGTGTATATAACAATGGTCTGTCTGGGTCTGGGGGCCCAGCATAGTAAGCTAGACTTATTCTCACCAAATTAGGGCTGATATACTCTCGAAAGTTGCGTTAAGAGTAGGTGGGGAGCACCCACAGTTATCCTTTAGCTAGTGTCTGTTTGGGAATATTTATCAGCGTGCTCCACAGCTCCATGTGATTTTGTGCAGGTGTTAACATTATCTAAAGTGGGGGATTTTCAAGAATGTGTGCTTTTCAGGGTTTTAAAAATATGTGATTAAGTTTGCTAGAAGTTTATGAGAGGAAAAATGGGGGGAAAGCAGTCTGGTCCTCCTGGTCTGTTTTTCTTCCAAGTCCAAGGATGACTAGGATGGAGGTTTGATTGCAAAGCATTGGAGACCTAACTAGTGGTGCAGGTTCAGAGGAATGTGTGAGCAGGGCAATGAGAGGAAAAGGGAGTGGCGGCATAAAATAAACATGGCCAACGGTGGCGGTGCAGTAGATATATTCTTTGAGATAAAACTTTTGCGGATAATCAGTAAAATTGGTGTCTTAATAGCTTCCTTACTATTAAAGTGGTTTAGTGGTTCAGGTCCATGTTGAGACAAGGTCACTTATTATTATATAAAGGAGCTGGCACCAAAATACAGTAGATTCAGCAAACTGCTCAACATCACTCTTTTTTTCTCATTGTTATGGCCATTAGCATTATGTTATTTAAAAAGGGAAATTCTTATTTTTCTTTTTTTGGGGGGTGGGGGGTGTATTGTTTTATAACAGCTAATTGCTACAATATCATAGAAATTTTATGTCACTTCAGATTTTTTCCACATTTTCTCTTGAAAATACATCAAAAGATATTTTATACTGGTCTTTATTTACTTTTTTGCCTCTACTTTTTTGTTGCTTTTGTGTATCTTTATCTCTTAAAGGTATGTCATAAATTCAATTTGCCCACTTACCGAATATAACAGAATGAAGGCTGGTTGTAAAAAGCAACTGTCAAGTCTTACTACAATTTGTTTCGTTCTGTTCCAGTGTAATGCTGGCTGTATGTTTAAGACCATTGTCTTGCAGCAAGGTCAACCTCAACTCTTGTCTTTGCCAGCCTCTAACATGCTTTCCTCTATAATTTTCCTGCATTTAGCACCATCCATCTTCGAATCCATAATTAGCTTCTTCTTATAACACAAAGGCATTCGTCTCAGCATTTTGGTTTAGTTGAATTAGGTTAAATTTTATATTCTAATGGTATCTGTCCTTTCATGTTTTCAGCTTGCACTTTCTTTCAACACTAGCTCTACTTTGGAACATATGTATAAAAAAATTTGAGTACATAACAAATAAACAGCCTCTTAACTCGTAATCATAAAATGAAAAAGCTCAGGAGGATCTGTAAACTTTTACACTCTCCTACAAAAACTTATCATGTACTAACTCTTCATTTACTTTACTTTATTTGATCTATTTTCAAATATGCCCTCTCACTTACTTGTCTGCTGCGTTTGTGGATTGTTCAGTCGTCTTACATCAGTACATGTGTTTGTATTCATCTGTATGCATCTACCTTAAAAAACTTTTGGATACTTTAGATGTGAGTGTTAGTTTGGGATGTTTTTTGTTATTTTATCTATTCTTTGTCTTTTTCTGTTTTACTTTTTTGTTGTTCTGGTTATTTACTATTATTAGAGGTACCAGTAATTTCTGTCTTGGTAGGTTTGCAGGTATGCTGTTATCAATCCATTTCTAAATTATTATGATTTCTGAGATGTTGAAAGTCTGGGATATTTGTTTTATTACCAAACTCAGCCTTAAAGCAGTCAACTTTATCCCAAACCTTTCTGGTATATTCCTCTTCTTTAATAGGGTCCCCTTCAAACCATGTGATATGTAATATATATATTTTTTTTTGTTCCCTTCAGCACTTTCACACCAAACCTTTGTAGCACTTTAACCATGCAAGAGTCCGTTTTCTGGGGTAGATTCCACTGCTATGAATCTATCAACCACCCTGGCACTGTTAAGATTTCTCCAGACCCTCTAGTGGTTTCCTTGCAGTGTAAATGTGTACCCATCCCAGTGCACCAAAAGCAGGAAGACAGAATGTGACGAAAAGCAGCACGTTTAATTCAAAGAGAAAATAGATGTAGAATAACTCTTAGGGCTACGTGGAGTATTGATGAGGTGCAGCTGTAAAAATATATTTGAACGCCAAAGAAGCAACAAAAAATCACGAGACCAACTTTTCTCCTTATCATTTTTTCTTCTTCTACATCTGGAGCAATACTGTCCCTAAAATAATCTGTTGCAACAGATGTTTAGCCTGACCTAAAAAGGTAAAACAAAAGTGTCTAAAAGTTTTTCCCCAAATCACGAGACTGATCTCTGTAAATGGTCTTTTTGTGGCTGAATGCAGTCAGCTTATATTTAAGGACAACAGGGGGTATATGAAGCCCTCTAAGTAGATAAATACCAATGTATACAATAATTAAGTTTTGTTGAAAATTTCAAAACAATTTCCCTGACTTTTTTATTCATTCCATAACCTGAAAAAGCCAGTTGAATTTGGCTGCTGTATAATAAAACATAAAAGGTTCCAGAGGTGCAATTATTTTTGCACAACAGATATGAAAATATATTTTACTTTACATTGCACCATGTTTGTACTAACCTTGCTGGATGACCGTTTCCCCTGCAATGTGGGTGACTGGGAACATGGCATCAAATATGTCACTGCAAAAAAGAAAAAAGAAAAAGAAAAGAAAATTAAAGCTATTGTGCTTTTTTTTTTTTTTTTTACATGTTTTTTCAATACATTCTGAATTCAATATGTATGGACTCGCAGAGAATGGTGTTATCGAATCTGGACCAGAATGCCTTTTACCGCAGCTGCACAAAAGTCAATCAATGAAAAGCATCCCAGGGGAGGACTTTATACAAGCCTCCGATCAAAAACGAACTGATGATCTCCAAAGGAGGATTTTACACGGCGCCATCACCACAAACTCGTTTTTATCCGTTATTAATAAGGCTGCTTTAAACAAGTGTCCTTTCTGCGGTCTGTCTGAAAACTTTTTCCAAGTTTTTATTGAATGCACAAGACTAAAGGCAATTTCTAACCTTTTAATGAGTGTGTTTAGTCTTTTTGGGACAATTTTTACAAATGCTCTTTTTATAGGAGGGGTTTCCCAAGACAAAAGAAATAAGCCAAAAGGCCCGACTTTTACTTTTTAAAAACAGTGAAGCAAAGATGGCCATTTACCTGTCCCGTAGAGACAGACTGCAGGAGGGACCTCACCTTGAAGCCATTGTTATGTGGAAGTGCAACATTAAAGCCGGAATAAGGCTGAAGTTTCACTTCCACAGAGCCACACAGAACATGGAGGATTTTATTAAGTTTTGGGGTTTTAACGAAATTTTATGTTGCTCTTCATTTAATGATTTTTAGCTGATACTTGTTTTTACCTTAAAGTGATTTTTAACTGACAGTTGTTTTATGTCAATTGTTTATATGTGTGAAGTGAGTAAATAAAGTGCTGTTAAAAGACGAAATATAACAAAAGACCATGTATCTGAATTTCACCCAAAATATTTCTCTGTCAATTCTGGTAAACTGTCTGCCACTACAGAGAGGAAAGCACTGCCTGGTTAATGACCTTTACAGGGGGAGTAAAGTAAAGTTGCTGACCGGGACTGAAGATGTTAGTGGTGGTAGGAAGGCTTTGAGGAGCTCATCAACCCAGCAGCAACACCTTCCCTGGTGAAAGGAAAGGCTGGATAATTGCTCATCACCCAGTCTATAATCACCAAAGTGGTTAAAAACCTCCACAGGCACTCTGTGAATACAGAGTAGAAGGTCCTTTAATAGCGGCCATCCAGTCTCTATACGAGCAAAGCAGGTGTCTGATCCACATTGCTGACATTAAGTGGAACCTGTTCCTAGTGCACCTTGGACTCTGGCAGGGTAGCCCAAAGTAACCGGTCCTGTTTAAAAAAGTTATGAACAGGACTAGAAGGGTTCTGGTTTGGGGACCAGCAGATTTCATCTCTGCTTTTTGCCGTTACATAGTTCTGTCTGCTCCCTCCAGTTAAGACCTACAGCATGTGTTGGGGGGTCTCAGCCTAGTGAGATCAGCTCAGGGTGGTTTGTCCTCATTAGATGAGAGGAGAGTTCCTGCCTCAGTTCAAGTATTTTAGGGTTCTGTTCATGAATTAGAGGAAAATGACATTGCAGCCGCTGCAGCGGTCAGTTGTGATGAAGAGGGAGCTGAGTCAGAATGGCAAGCACTTGATTAACCGGGCGGTCTACACATCGTAATTGGAGGAGGCCCAGAGAACGATTCAGGACACCCCAAAGGGACTGTCCCAACTGCCCCTGGAACGTCTCGAGCTTCCCCAGGAGGAGCTGAAGGAAGTGTCTGAGAAAAGGGAAGTCTCTGCATCTCTGCTGAGACTGCTGCCCCCCAACTCAGATAAGCGGAAGATGACAAACATAAATTCTTGTACATTTCTTAATTAAAAGCTCGATGCAATCAATGATAATAATAGTTTAAAGGTTACAGTTACAAATAAGATTTTGCCATTTATATAGGAGGTTATGAAATATGTTGGTATTGTTGTCATATGAGGATACTATCAGTGGCAAGCAAACGTTTCGCCACAGAGTCTAGATCTCTGTACCATACAGGTACCGTACGTGGGCCAATTTAAGACTGTTTTGTTTCAGGCTGTGATCAAAGCTTGTATCTCTGAGAGCATCATTGTTCAGAGACACTGGGAAAACAAACAAAATAACAGCTGAACCCAAGAAACTGATTTCTGCTCCAGCCCAGCAGGTACGAGCGCCTGTTAGACTGCTGTTAATGGTGCAGTTTAAATGCATGAAGCTTCAGAAGATTAAAGCTCCACTTCTGGAATGTGTTGGGACAAGAAACGTTATCCTTTTCTTCCTACTCTCTGAGAGTCTGTCCGCCTCCAGGGGTTTATTTTGTTCTATCTAATCAGTTTTATACAGCTTGTCTTATAGAAGAAAATATAGACAAGCAACTAACTATAGGAATATCAAAGACTTAGAAAAACTATTGAGTGAATTTGGAGCAAGTCTGAGCCCGCTCTAAGTTATGTCTCTATATGTGTGTGCGTGCACCATCGAATGTGCATGTTTAGGCCAGTATGTCTGAATCTGAGTTCATCCAGCCTAAGAAAACACACAGGTTTGGACAAAATAATGTGTGGGTGAGGGATAACAGCATGCTCCCTAACCTGCAGTGCTCTGCAGTGAAAAGAAACACAAGATACACATAAAAAATTGGAAGAGAAAAAAAAAAACTATATGTCAACAGATGTTTCAGGGAGATCTAAGGATGTTAGTGAGTGGTTTGGACGAGAACGAACCATGCTGGTATTTATTTATGTGACACAGAATAGAAAGCAGACTTAAGAAAGTGGATTTCAGCCAAATACACCCACAGGTAAGCCCAATGCACTGCAGCTGGCCACTGACTCACACACATGCACACACTTCAGGAAACACTCACACATGTCCAGAAAGTCACGCTCACGCTTTGAAGTGTGCAAGCCCTAAATACAAAAGATGCAAAACCCTCATACATGTAATGATGTGAAGAAGCTGCACCCATACGTGTTCCTTTGCATGTCAGCACACCATTATTACACATTTGGACAAAAACAACAAACTTACAGACATCTATTTCTGATTAAACAAAACATCCTGGATGGCAGGATGATGCGACATGAGAGCCTAAAAGCTTTGATGGTGGTTAGTCAGAGCAACATCTGCAGGACTGCCCTCAGTTCTGCACACATCTGTGACCACCTGCGCATGGTGACCGCTGGAGTAGGAAGCTTTGGAAAATAAGTTTCAGGTTTCATGGTGAGATAAAGTGATGCTGTATTAAAAGTTTTTTTTATATACATAAGTGAGGGTTTTAACATAGTTATAAAGAAGTAAAAAAGTTCTGGATAGAGCGGGTAACATACTGTAGGGGCCAGAGAAGGGTTTTTTATTTCAACACAAAACCGAGGTGGATTCTTGTGAGTGGGTGTCCAAATGATCAAAGAAAAACCAAACCTGTGTTTAAGTAATTACACTTGACCACCTCTTTCTTTCTATTCCCCATCTATCTGCATCCATTCAGTGAATGCATCAGTGAGCAGAACAAAGATAATCATGATGGTAATTACTTCCCCTCGTCTCTGCCCATCGCTCCCTTCTCAGTCACTTTTCTTCCTTCCTATACCCTCTGGATTTCCCCGTTTCTCCTTTGATTCATCTGGCCCCACATTTTACTCCCACCCTTCTACCTAATGCCCCCTCTCTGTGTGTCCTACATGAAGTGATTAATCTTGTCCTTTCCGCTACCTGTTGCCCCTGCCTGACCTTATGAAAAGACAGAGTAACTCCACCGACAATGGCTGTGCAATTCTGACAAAGACAGATAGTATGATGGTGAGGCAGAGACACCTAAGAAGGAATTGTCATGATGGTGGTGGTGCTGGGAAATTCATCCCAATCCAAAGCTTCTTTCATTGTGAGATAGCACCAGGGTTCCTTGGATGGAGGGACAAACTATTTTATTGAAGGGGCTGATGACAGACAGAACCCTGATGCTCAAAATAAACTTAGTGTCCAAATGCCCGCCCTAATCACTATATAGGGCACTATACAGTGGTTATCCCATTTTAAATACGTTTTTGAACGTTGAGTTTGAGGCTTTATAGAGTAGACCAAAAAGAAAGCCTTGTTTTGGCTTAGAAAACATGCAAAATGAACCGGACCAATGGGTCTGCCACCTAGGAATGGGGGTCGTTTGGGTTCTTTGTTAGCCTACAAAACCCGATACCTGTCTATTTCTCTGAAAGTGGGGTCATTAGGGGGAATTGCTGGTCTGGACAGGCGGGATGTTCTGTTCCCCTGTAGGGGGTTGATGAGAGCTATTATTGCAACCCCCACTCAATACAGGGGAACATAACATATCTATAAAGTCTCAAACTCAATGGTATTTTTTACAATTTTAATTGAAAAAGCTTCCTGAATGGCAAGCGAAATGTCTTCAAATGTTGAAACAAAGTCCTGTGGATTGTCTTAACTTTTTTGGAATGACTACGTCCTGGATGACCGAGAATCTTCACCAGTCCAGTGGATAAAAAAGTAGTGGACTTGAAATTTCCCACAATGCATCTTGAAGAGTATTGATCATCCATGGTCACTAGACGAGCAGATATATCCCGGAATATCCTTGCAAAGCATTATCGGATATGTTGTCACAGCAGCCCGTTGTCGCCATAGATTGTCACTATCCTATCTAATAACAAAGATGCCGCAGGCAACGTGCAGGGAAGGCAGATTCACAGGATCAACGGGGAGCAAAAAGTAGTGATCATCTGTTCGAACAGTTAGTTAAATGAGTTCACTATAAAGTCTACTATATAATCCCCGCTCTATAAAGTGATTGAGGGATCTAGGGGTTAGGGCAGAGGTTCGAACACAGCCTTCATATCCCTAAATGCAAATATATAATGTACACAGGGAGACATTAATATTTAGTTGATTTTAAAAACGATACATGTGGATATTATAATGTAACTACCACACTACAGTGAATTTGTGTATCTTAGTATGTACTGTTAAAGGGGCAAAGAAAAAATCTTACTTGCTCCCTCCATAACAGCTTATTTATTGTTCTGCAAGACCCATAGAACAGTGTTTACCT